TAGATGTAGGGGACAGAGGTGTGATGCTGCTGTTCTGATAACACGAAAGAAGAGGCATTTTGCAATCCCCATGCCACATGGATATGGGACAGCTGAAACCAACCCTGCTTGGGATGTTGGGTCTGGCATGGTTTTAAGCTATGCGTGTTTTATTACAACACCTCAGAGCACCAACTAATCTGAGCATGATTTCCTCTGTTCTAGCTGCAAGACAGCACAGAAACTAAGAAAAAAAAAAAAAAAAGATCAGTCTGAGGTTCAATAGCAAGGCTGAGCTTTTACATGTGTGACATCTTATGTGGAGTCTTTATGACCTGTCTCACCAGCATACAAATATCTCAGCAGGCACTTCTGCACTCAAATCTGCACTGCCAAGAGGACCTCTGCATGAATTTACCTTGAAAATTTTAAGGGCTTTGCACAAGCCCCTGGCTGCACTGTTGGCATAGAGCCATCACCAGCCAGATTAAGAGCAACATTCAGTTAAATAATGGGGTTGGTTCTGAGATTTGAAATGATGACACATGTCCTAATCTGGAGTACAGATCAGGATGCCTGGAGTGTCGCAACCCCACAGATCTCCATCACCTGAACAAAATTCCACACGTAACAGCTCTGAGCACTAAACATTTCAGAATTCCAATCCTGCAGAGTGGCAGCTACACTACCTGCAAATCCTACAGAGATACAGCTTGGATAAACAAAGACAGGAAAGTGCACCAAGCCTCTGTCATCATCAAACCTGATTACATGTACTGATCTAGAGCTACATTGGACTCATGTCAGATCAGGAGACTCCTTTAAAAGCCTTATAAGAAACTGTCACTCCAAACACAACTATTGATGGCAACCTTGTTCCTTCCTGCATTATTTCCTTGTTTATTGTCCCTGCAATAGATGACAGCCTTGACTCAGTGCAAGCATTAAGTCACACCAGAGTTCTCACAGCTGGCAGGAGCTACCTGTCCAAGCAACAGTGCTCAACCACAAAGGCAGTAAAATATTGGGTCTTTGTATTCAGCCATTCCATCAGTCTTCTGGTGAACTTTTCTCACTATATAAATAATGCAATTTATGAAAATTTCATCAGGTAAAATAACTAAGGAACAGTGATTCCATCTTCCTTAATCCAAAAAAGTACATTTAAGCCAAGACTGGATGGTAACAAATAGCCAGCCACATGCTAAGTTCAGCATGATGGTAGGACACAGCCCTTTCAAGCTGAGTACATTAAAAAGTGCATTCTTTTTCAAGACCATATTAGAAATGGCCAAACAAAAAGGGAAGTATGGCCTACAAAATGATAGAGAGATTGTAGCAGTGCTGGACAGAACTGACAATCAAATGAAAACAGCTTTGGTTTTTTTATCCTTGTAGGTAGATGGGCTGATTTCCCTCTTGAAAAGCACCAGTATTTTAGATATTATATTTTTCACTGCAACACTATTTTCAGAAATCTGTAGTATCATACAAATATGGAAAACACCACGCATCCTCCTAACCCCACGCCAAGAATAAGGCAGATGCTTCATTCACTGAGGGCAGCTGCATAGCTCGTGATGAGCAAGAAAAACCACTTGAGAAAGGTAAATGCCAATCTGTCACTGGCTATTTGAGCTTTGGCACAAGCCTTGGGTCAGCCTGCTGGGTACATGGGTGTGCTGTGCAACCATTTGAACTCAGGCATGCTGTCAGAGGCGCTTCAGAACATGCACTATTGACTCTGCAACTAGGTGGTTTAGGAAAGTAGGCATCCCTCACACAACTCAAGGACACCTGCTAGAAGAAGGACGTGCTGCCACAGATCAGCCAAGAAAGCCAAATTCAGATGACACTTGCTCATTTCTCTTCCACCAAAAGTGAGGGGATCAGTTTATCCATTTCTCCCTTTCAAATGCATCAAGTTTTAACAGCTCTCCTCCTTCTGGAGGCATTTTTCTATATATATAAACCAAATGTTCCTACAGTTAAAATACAGAAATAATATGTTGCCACAGGCTTGCAACGTTGTTTTTTAAACTTAACCAGTTAAAGTCCACTGCAAACACAGAACCATGCTTCTTCACAAAAACAGATTCCTGACACTACCATTTTCTTATCCTCATCTCAACATTTCATCTGAGGTACAACACATTCAAGCACTAGCTAAGAAAAAAATAACCATTATAGGACACAAGAGAGCAATTTTACTAAGCTCTCATTATAGGAAAAACAACATTTGTAGTAGTAAGAGCTCATAAACATACTAAAGCCATACCTTCAAACCTAATAACAACAGAATACAATATGTTCTTCTTAAATATTAAAGCCAGCACTTCGCTTTCATTAAACGCAGAGTAAAATACAGCAAGATAGCCACAAATCTAATAATAATGGAAACTCAAACAAAGAATTATGCATCAAACTGAGAAATACCACCCTGGTCCTCATTTTAATTCACGCCTTGTTTGTTTAATGCAGGAGAAGAAAGAAAAAAATAAGGAGATAAAAAAAAAAAAAAAAAAGCAGCAATTTGCCAGCTCACCTGGACACATTTTCTGGAATGTACTCTAGAACTGGATACCCATCACCTCTTCTGGATGCCAACTCCGAATGTGACTTCCAGGTCTCCACGAGCGTGCTGACAGCAGGGAAGGAGCTCAAGTGCTGAAATGTCTGCTCTCGAGCCACCGGCCGCGACAAGGATATCGTGCCCTGGGCACCGATCCTGTAGTGAAATGACTGTCCACCTGAATTTACCCCCACAATGGCAGAGGATGGTATACTGTTCTCTTGGTAATAGCTGCCATCGTCAGGCTCCTGCTTAATCCCCACACGTAGGCCTGGATTTGGAAAACCGCTACCTTCACAATTTCCATCGAATGAAGAAACAGGTGGTCCTAAAATCCCAGAAAGAGAGTAATAGTCTTTGTCATCCATAAAAGAAAAATATGAGCCATCTGTAAATGGGAAAGGATTTACTGTTTGATTCCCTTTAAAGGAGGCACCAGAACAAGGATGTTTGGCCGACTCTTGCTTCACTGGTACTGGAAAAGGGGAATCTGAGTTTATTTTGCTGCTGCCGCTGTCGCCGATGCAGGCGCTGCCAAAGGACCCGTCTGGCTCGGGCTTTATGAACTGAACAAGGTTCATCTGGCTGTTGTTGGAGATGGCGTTCTCCATTTCCTCCATCTTAGGAAACGTGAGTTCTTGAGCACCCTTGTCTTTTGTTTCTGGACTGGGAACGGTGTCTTGGCTTCTGCTAGGCCCCACTGGCGTGCCGGAAGGCGGGAACCCTATGGAGTTGTTAACGGGGCTACAGATGGATGATCCCACAGTGCTAACCGCTGGACTAGAACGCGTGGACCTGTTATTGGCATTGGAAGGGCTGGCAATGGAGCTCCTGGAGTTCAGGTTTGCAGGGCTGGACACAGAAGATCGCATAGTGATATTGTTGGGACTCGAGACAGGAGATTTCACGCTGCAGTGGCTGGGAGGGCTGGAGATCGGCGACTTCATGCTACTGATAGGGCTGGAAAGCGGAGAGCCGACGTTGCTGACGTGCGCGGGGCTGTGCAGCATGGCGCCGCGGCTCTCAACGTTGGGCGAGCGCGACAGAGGGGTGCCCTGCCCCATGGGGCTGTGCATGGCAAAGTTCCCAAAGCCAGTGGTGGTTGAGGACATGGAGTTAACTCCCGCAGGACTACACACTGAAGAGGCTATGTTCTGAGGGCTGCAGCCTGAGGGGCTTTTCTCTTGACACATGATGGGGCTTTTGACAATCGTGTGCATGGCACCGCCGTTCACAGCGCTCCCAGAGTCCGACATCAGAGACCTCAAGGGCCTGCTGGTGCTGTGGAGGGGAGAGGAACAATGGCCGTTCTCCTTGTAGAGCTTCACCAGCTGCTCAACGTTCTGGTAGATCTTTCCTGGGCTCCCCTGGTTCTGCTGATCATAGTGGTAATCGGCGTCTCGTATCGAATCCATGTACAAACCCATGGATTCGGCCACCGTTGCCGACAGCTCCTTGGACTCTGTTTCGGTTTTGATGTCAGAGCGCAGGAGGCCAGGCTGGCTGTTGTCTTGCTGCAGGCAGGAGAGTAGCTCAGGTTTTTCTTTGCCGTTTCCTTGAGCGCTGCTGTTTGCGAAAGTGCCGGCGGCGCAGCTGACGTTTACAATCTCCATGTAGTTACTGTCATCAGTCTGCTCTCCAGCACCTATGGAAGAATACTCCACAGACTGAGAAACTTGACCCCACCGTCTCTCCATATCTAAGCCTTCTGGGTAGCTGTGGTATCCTTTTGTCTCCATAACTAGCAAAGACATATATAAAAAAGTAAAATTAATGACAGGACAGTGTGACTTCCTAAGGAAATTTCCTAATTTCCTAAGGAAACAAGGCGTATCCGCTTTCTCTGTCTATCCTCCTCTCTCGCTCTGCCTGCCAGTCCCATTTCCCTGCCCCATCCATCATCTCTCAACCATTTGTCCAATTTCAATCAAACCGAGGGAAAGGTCTCATGGATATGACAGCCCCATGGGCTCAGGGAGAAAACAGCTCAGCAGTTGGGGAACACCCAAATTATTGCTCCCAGCCCTGCCCCAAAAGGAATGGCTTGGCAATGTCAGCAAACCACCCACCCTCGCTGGCCATAGCCCCACGGACAGGGCCAGCTGTACCAGGGGCTGTCCCTCACCTAAAAAAGGGAAAGGGGAGTAAGGAAGGAGGGGATCCAGAGAGGTCCTGAACAGACATGCTGGCGGCAGGCAGGATGAAAACCCTGTGGAAATTGCTTATTACAGAGCTTGGAGGAGGTCTGCTCTTTCAAGGACCTTCCACTGCCATGTTATAGGGACAACAAAGCAAGGGAGACTGCTCTTTTAAGGGGATTTCTCTTCATCATCCTCACCATTCAGCCTAACCCAGGATGCTTTAGAAGGAAGCAGTGGTTCTGAGGGGCTGGGAGCTGACTTGGCCCTTCCCAGCAACACAAACTTCTCGTACAACCTCCCAAGGAGACATGAAGGTGTGGGGAGACAAGGAGGACAGCAGATCAGTAGGAAACATTCCTGCCACAGAGGAAGGGGATCAGACTAGGTGGGAATGCATGGCTGTTAAATGGATCCATAACTCTGCCAATTCTGCAAACTTCCATGGCAGGCAGCAAGAGGAATATATAAAGCAAAGTAAACCTTGTTCTAAAATGGACCCTAAAAAAACCCCTCCCATTCCACATGCCACTTTCACAATGTAAGGAGCAAAATCATGACCCAGTCTCTAACAATTTGAAAACCAACATATAAGTAACAACAATTATTTTTTAAGGATTTGGCTCATAGTATCATTAGAACTGCAGAAACTCAAGTGCCAACAGTTACAATATCAATATTATGCAAATATTTTTTTCCTTTCAGAATGTATTCATTTTCCAATATTTAATTTAGTGTTCTACCCCTTTACTTAACACTTCTTAACTAAGCTATTTTGAGCAAAATAACAAAAACAAAGCAAAAAAACGTAAACTGAATGACTTGAATACTTCTTTGCCCTTACTTAATTGGAACTATAGCCCAATGCTTACATTTCTCTCAAGCACAAATTTTATTAGAACCCAGAATTATGTCTCACATCATCATGTACATTAAATCACATTCCTATAGTATAAAATTTTCAGACAGAAGTGCCTAATTCCACATAAAGTCACTCCCAGATAATCACCTATCCCTGGTTTAAGTGCTGAGCAAGCCTAAATCCTAGAGAAATCAATTGCAGTTGTGAGTGACCCGCATTTCTGAAAACCAGGAAACTTAGTTAAGGCTTAAAATTAGGATGTAAGTTAATTTTAACTCTCAGAAACACCAGCAGAACCACTGCATGCCAGGAAATCTCTGTTGCAGGCCTAACATTACAACAGTGAGCATTGTAGGGACTTCTCCCACAGCAGTAAAATTCAAACTTCATATACAATCAATAGCTGAGCATACTCTGAAACTTCAGCGAATAAAAATCTGAGTCACACAAAGGAAAAGAAAGTAGAAAATGCCCTGATCCTGCACTTGCAAAGGCTGGCAAATATATCCGAGAGGATCAAAAAGCAGCAGAGATTATTTGACTTATTATACAAGTTCAGTTTAAAACGAGAGCTATAAATTTGGGAGAGTGCAGCAGCAAACAGAAAGTGATGGTTTCTGTCACCTCCAAGTGCCTCGGTGGATACCAGAACCAAATTAATAATCTCAGGGGTTACTGGTAGCATTAGGGTTTGATTTTGTTCTTTTGGGCAGAACTTATTACAACTTGACTAGCACATCCATCCACGGAATCCACACTTCACCTACTGCACACACATGCCTTTTTACTAACTTTCACTAAACAAATCTGACTGGGGGGGCTACAACATCCACGGACACCCACAACTAAAGCTCAGCACAGTTACATACTGGAACCAAGATCATCTCTACCTGACACTTTACAAAAGCAAGAGACATTGTGAGCAGAGCAGCTTATCCAGACTCCCTCTCCAAAGAACTACCGAGACACTGCTAGTTGTATATTTCACCCCAAACATACCTAGTTGTACATTTCACCCCAAACACATCTAGTTGTACATTTCACCCCAAACATATCAACAAACGCAGCCCTCCGCAGCACAAATCTCCGATCAATTAGGCATGAAACTAGTCTCGCAGCAACAGCCAAATAAAAAATCAAATGGTACCTGGTATCCCTGCAACCAAAAGGTCACCTAGATACGGGGAAATCTGAAGTAAGCCCAGCTTCACAAAAAAAAAAAAAAAATAAAATAAACTGGTGGTTCAAGCAGCCACTCACTTCTTAATTCTCGGTGTTTGTAAACCAAATTTCCTTAAAGTTTCACTGTCTGACAGCCACCCCGCTGACACAAGGCTGCCCGAGGGACCTGAGCTTCGTGGCTGGGCTGGGTTTTCCCCCTTTCTCCCGGGTACGGGAGTGGCGCGGGCAGCCCCGGCACGGCCGCCCCCGGACCCAGCGGAGCCGGGCGCGGGTCCCCCCCGTCCCCGCGCGTTAACATCCGCGCAGGCAGCGCTGATTTCCCCATTCACCATCCGCTGCGAGGAGCATCCCCGCAGCTCCCAGCGAGCAGACCCCGCTCAGCACCCCTGTCCCCCCCGCCAGCCTAGCCAGCCTTCCCGCAGGTGCAGCCCGGGCTGTCACGCGTGGGGGGGCCCGGCAGTGCCCGGAAGCTCGCTCCCTCCCTTCCCTCCCTCCCAGGAGCCCGCGGGGGAGGGGGATCCACAGCCCAAACCCGCTTTCGGCCCCCGAGCGATGCAGAACTGCGCTTCCTCCCGTGCAGACGCCGCTCCCCGCCCTTCACGGCGGCAGGGTCCGGGCCCCGCTGCCGAGCCCGCGGCTCACCCGGCCAGCAGCACCTCCCGCCGCGGTGCGGGGCGCGGAGCGGTGCCCCGGCCGGCCCGGCCCCGGTACCTGTTGCGGCGGGCGAGCCCGGGGCGCGGGGCGCGGAGCGGAGCGCAGGGCGGCGCGGAGCGGCAGGGCGGGCGGCGCGGCTCCCCCGCCCCTCCCCCGCCTGCCCGCCCGCCCGAGGCGCGCCGCGCCGCCCGGTGACACGGAGCGGCACCCGGGAGGGGACGGCAAAAGGTGCCAAGTCCTTTAAAAACATGTCACATGCCCACATAAAGTTCAAGTTTACGTCCCGCCCGCCGCCCGCCGCGATTGGCTGGCGCGGCCCGGAGCGCGGCGCGGCCGGGGCCAGGCGGGCGCGCCATTGGCTGCGCGGCGCCGTCACTCACCCGCCGGGCGACATGACTGATACAAAGTTGCTGCGACACAGCCTGGGAAACGCATCTCCTTAAAGCCGCAGGGACCGGCGGCCCCGCGCTCCGCCCGCGGGCTCCCCGCGCACCGCCCCGCGCCCCCGGCCGGGCGGCGGCCCCGGCACCGTGCGCACAGGTGAGGTGCGCGGGGCGCGGCCGCCCCCGCCCGGTGCCCGCGCCGCGCCGGCGGCAGGGCCGGGCATCGCTTCTCCGCCGGCCCGGGGTTTCCGCCTGTCAGCGGCGCATGAATGCGCACCGTGCCGATGCAGCGGCGATTTAACCAGGGAAATTTTTAAAAATTAATGTAATTAGGTGGAGGGGGGAAAAAGAAAGAAGAAAAATGTACGGAGGTAAAAAAAAAAAGGAGCGGAGGAGCGACGGCGGCGGAGCGCAGGAGGGTTCAAGGACTCGTCCTCCGCTCCCCGCCGGGCTGGCTCCGCTCCGCGGCAGCCGCGCATCCCGCCGGGCGCCCCGCCCGCTGCCTCCCGCCAGCCAGAGGAGCCGCCGGAACGACCCCTGGCCCCGGGGTTGCTGCCACCTCCTATTCCCCAGTGTCCCCCTGGGTGCCTACGTCCCAGCTGCAGGAATACCCCTTTCCCAGACAAGCCTTAAAAAAAAAAAAAAAAAAGAAAGAAAGAAAGAAAGGGAAAAAAGCCGCCGAGCAAACTTTGAGGCGATGCGCTCCCAACTCGCTCGCTAAATACCGCCCCCAGCCCCCGGTCAGCGGCCCCTGAGAGCCCCGCTCCCGCCCCAGGTGCGCCCCACGGCCCGGCGGGGACAGCTCCCGGCCCCGCGGGGTGACAGCGGTGCCCCGGGAGCGGGGCCGGGGGCTGAGCCCGCCGGGAGCGGCAGCGCCGGGCACCGCGCACCTTCCCCGCAATCGCCCGTGCGCGCCCGTAGGGACCCCGCGTGTGCTGCTGCGGGTTGGTATTCCAGAGTCACGGCGAAAGCGCCAACATCCCCAGGATTTGGGCTGTCACGTGCCCCTGTCGTTTTCCTATTCTGCCAAATATCGACCCACACTCACGGGCCGAGGCGGCGGCTCCCAGCGCCCGCGGCGCGACCCGCGGAGGAGCAGCCGCCGCCCCCGCCGCGCTTCCCCGCGGGCGCTGGCGAGCAATGGACGTGTCCTTCCCGCGAAGTTTTCACGGATGGGGACGGGACTAGCCGTGACCTGGATACGCCGGCCGGTGTGTCGGACACCCGCCCCGCTGCCCCCCGCGCCGCTGCTCGCCCCGCGCAAGGTTCCGCGCTGCACTCACTCACCTCCCCTAGGACATGGTGGCGCGGCGGGGGGAGGAGACGCGGCCCCCGGCTACTGGCAGCGAACCATCCGGGAGCCCGCACCGCCACCCAGGGTAGAGAGGAAAAAAAAAAAAAAAAAAAAAAAAAAGTACGCGGAGGAAGCACCGGGAGCGCGGCCGGGCGGCGGGAGGGAGGGAGCTGCGGCGGCAGGCGGCGGGGTGCCCGCGGCGCGGCTCGGCTCGGCTCGGCGGACAGCTCCCACCATGGACGCCTAGGTGGGTGGGTGTTCCCGCGGGTCACACCCTCGCCCGCCGGCGGAGGGGAACGGGGGGTGGATCCAGCACCGGTGGAGGAGGAAGGGGATTTTTGGGGGTGGGGGGGAAAAGAAGAGGGGGCGGAGAGGGAGGGAGGGAGAGAGACACCCTCCAAAAAAAAAAAAAAAACAACCAAAAAACAAACCCGAAAAAAAAAAAATCAAACTTATGTCATTCCAGGTAAAACTCCCATCTGCGCCACCAAGGAAGAGGAGGGAGGAGAGTGGCGAGGGTGTAAACTTTTTCCTCCCCCCCGCCCCCTCCGGTGCCGCCCGGCCCCTCGCAGCGCCCGGCGGCCGCGGCGCCCCCGCCGCCCCTCCCGCGCCGCCCGCCGCGGCGGCTCCCGGCGGCTCCCGGCGCCGCGGGGTTTCTCACGCACGGAGCCCGCCGCCGCCGCGGTTCCTGGTTCGCGGAGCCGCCGGAGGAAGGGAAGGAGGGCGGGCGGCGGGGGAGGAGGAGTGTCTCCCCGTGCCCTTCCCCAGGCGGAGCGTCTCTCCCGGCCCTGGCGGCGGCGGAACACCCCTCCCCTCCGCTCCGCTCCGCTCCGCGCTCCGACCGCCCCGCTCGGCCCCCGGGCGGGCTGCGGGGAGCGGAGCGCCCCTGGACGGGATTGCGGGAGGAGGCTGCGCTCCCCCCCGCCGGGCCTGCGCCTTCCATCCCCCCGTCCCCGCCGCTGCCGGGCGGGGGGAGCCGGTCCCCGCTGCCCCCCAGCGTGCCCTTGTGTCCCGGGATACGGGCAAGCCGCGGGAGCATCCGCGCCGCACTCGCGGGGCTGCGCTGGGGCAAACCCGCCCCGATTCCGCACGCTAACAGGAAAATCGGTGCTAACAGCGATGCTGGTTTTGAAATAATATTTCACTTGTGGCTAAGGTCTTTTAGAACTGATTATGTTTGAGTTCGGGGCATTAAATGTCTCTTCATTTAAACATCTTAGGGAAACAAAAACTAGGCATTGGAGGAAGGAAAGTCTTGGCCCTATTTAGTAGCCTTGATGCAAGTCTTTAAACGTGGGAAAGGGCTGCTCGCCGGGAAGTTTACCTGTGCCGGAGTCTGTAGGATTGGGGCCTTGGAAAGGGCAATATTTTATCAGCTGTTGTTTGCATCCGTCAAAGTTTGCGGGTAACTTGATAAATGTTAAACAGGGAAGCAGAAAGTGCCGGTGAGGCCAGACTCGGAGATAACAGCACATTCAATAGCTTAATTTCACAATTAGTTTACTGTATTATTGGAAGCAAATCATATTTCACTGTGCCTACACTAGTGCTCTATTTTTAGCCATAATCTAGCTAAAAAGGAGGAACCTACTGAGATGTATTATAGCATCGAATGTGAACAATTCTGTTCTCTCTCTTTTTACTCATTTTGTGTCATACATCTGGTTTGGAATACAGCTCATTTATTAATTGAACAGAACTACCGTGGATGGGCTGGAGGCTGCAATTCCAAGGCAGAGGAAAGTTCCACGCAACTCTGCAAGGAACCCGGCGAGTCACAGCCATGCAGAAAGCATCCAAGCCCACTGTCAGCTCTCCCAATAACTGGCATAGCCAGAACAACTATTTTTTATTAATTTAGAATTACAGTGTATTTGGCTCTTTGATTGCACTTTTTTTATTTTACTTTTCTTGATTTTTTTTTTCGGGGCAAAGTTGTAAATGAAAAAAGCATTTAAACTGTTTGGACGTAGCCTCAGTCTTTGTGTTGCATCATTTTTTTATTTTATTTTTAAGAGCAAAATGGAGATAGAAAATAAAATTGAGGGAATATACCAACCTACTGCCTTAGTACCAAATATTTGATCCCCTCCCTTTCCCCTGTGATGCAGACAGAGATGGCTGCTGGAAGAATAAAGCACCTTTCATGGTATGTGCAAGATGCTCACAGTTTTTTCCACAAATTCAGTAGAAACCTCATTTGTTTTCTGTTTGTGGTTCACAGGAGCACTTAGCTTTTTAGTGGTTGACACTATATCTATTTTTAGCAGCATTTTAACAGCTGTCACTAACAAATACGATCCCATCTTGAACGAGAAGGGGAGTTTATCTGTTTTATTTTAAAAAATCAGACTACATAGTTGTCAGATTACAAAATGCAATTTGGATCTTTATCTGCGAAGAGGAAAGGCTATATTTTCTCATTATGCCAATTCCATGGGGGAAAGAAAAAGGGGCATGTGTAGGGGGCTTGATAAAGTAAAAGGGCTTTGCAAGGTTTGGAAGTAATGTTATTCAAAGGCATACAAATGTATATATAGCACATTTCAGATCTGGTTAAAAGTGGTCCTGTTTTCCTGCCTTCTGCAGCTGTGTGCGATGGGGGAAGCCGCAAAGAGTCGAGTCATAGTTTTCCAAGTAGGTCAAGAGGAGCAGCACGGACACCTCCAATGAGCGGTTCTCTTCCCTCCTATTAGATTTTCTGTGAGGTTAACTCATGTCACACACATGACACTGAAAGCAGCAGACAGACAAGTGTTAGGGCACTCTTGCAGCAGATGTCATCTCTGTTCCTAAAGATAGGGGCAAATTTGCTATGGATCATGCATTACAAAACAAGATAACGCTGGGACTCAGCAAGTGTCAAATTGTACCTCCTCCAGTGCTTGGAGAAGTGAGTGAATTGGTATTAGGGGCTGCAGGAGCAGCAATGTAGTGTAAAAGCAGCCTACTGTACTGTCTTACTTAGAGGTCATGTGCCCTATTTTGAGAACTGAACCAAAGCGGATGAAGTTTTGAGCCGGTTCCAACTAAGGCAGCTGGGCATTTCCCACTTCTCTCCAGCTCCAGCCCAGGAATGCAGGCAATCACATGGTCACACAAATTATTCCTTTACCCAACATTACTCACCGTAGATTTAATTTTTGGGCCATTTGGCTCATGTGGGTTTGATTACTGGAGATTTGCAGCTGGTCAGAAGTAGTTTGGGAAGACACTGGGAAAACATTGGGGATGACAGGTGAGAGTTTACTTTCCCGAACCAACAGACGTGAGTCTTCCAAGAGAGGAGTCCACAGTCTTCTCTGACTTGCCAGTTAGTTGTGTTAAAGCTAGTTTCCCAAGCCATGCTGAAAATCTTTAGAATTTTTTACAAGACTGTAAGTAAGCATGTTTTCTGTATGGTATGTTTATGTTCTCCAAGATATCAATATTTTATCTATTTAGTCTAATTTTGAACAATTTTGTTTTCTAATTATAGAGAAAACCTTTAGCTGAGCAACAGAACATGTTCCCTTTTAACCTGTATTTTTTCTTTTCTACCTTTTTTTCCCCCTTTTTTTTAATGCTCTTTAATGGCCCTGTTGTAACTGTGGTTGAACCACATCTAAGTATAGTACAAGTGCATTTCTAATGCACATTGGCATTAGCAACCACTTGCTTGTGCAAAGGGCCAAGACATGCATTTAAAAACATCTATTTCCAATACATTTCAAATCACAGTTTTTATTGACTATTAGCACCAATAGTTTCATCTCCTTCAAAATAAAAACATCCCACAGGGAGTTGCTTGCTGTGGACAATAGGTCTTGTAGACAGTGGCAGGACAAAGAAAGCATAAAGAATAACGCATGGGCAGTACTTTGTATTTTTTGGAGCTTTAATATTGCCACGTGCTTACATTGTTCATAGTCAGCTTCTCTCTTGCACTATTTCTTGTAAGACTATGTAACTTTTAAAAATAATTGTCATTGCCACAGAAAGGAGCCTTATCTCAGTATTAATGAATTCCCAAGCAATAAAAGGTCGTGGCAGCTAATTGTGTCTTATTATTTATCTACTACCTACTGGCATTTTTGCAGTATCAAATGGTAACTCACGCCGTAATCTGATAAAAATTTTGTAGTAACCATAATAGTACTGCACCTGTGCCAAAAACCCAGACACAGTGTTTAACAGCAGTAAAAAGAGCAAATAGCACCCTCCAGCACTTAATAAACATATCAAATGCAAATTGGAGGAAATTATTTAATCAGTCTATAGGCTAGTTAATTTTGATGATTATTCACAGTTCTAGTACCAATACTTAAAAGTGTGGAATAAGTTAGTACCAAAATTGTCATGACACCAAGGTCATAAGCAGAATTTGAAACTTGCTGCATAGAGGAAATTATCTTCCTGATTGAATGAAGGTGTGGCTTTAAAGCTCCCACAGCAAAAGGAGAATTCTTATGTAATTTTCCAGATTCTTCTATAATCCTGAAATTGCCTGCTCTCAGATATTATGCAATGTTAGATTGTTTGATATCAACCTGCATGATCAAATTTATATTGAGGCTTGCAAAACCTTTGTTGTCTGCATTTCTTAAAATCTGTATTTCCTGGAGAAGAGAGATTTTGTCTGGACTCTCCCCAAAGCGTACAGTGAAGAAGAGACTGAGAAGAGCAATGCTGTGAAGCTAAGAGAATGAGGAAGAAACATGTGCAAGACAGAAAAGGGGGGGAAAAAATCTATTGATTTAGGTGGAAGATGCAGAGCTTTCCTAAAGCTTTCCTGGATGTATTTTGTTGATTTTGTTTGTATATTGAACTCTTGCTTCCTTTGTAGGCTATGGTCCAGCCCCAGGAGCTCATTCAAATGTGTCCCCTGGGCCCACCCTGGGCAGTGTATCTTGCACAACATGGAGAGTTGGTCCTTGCCAGATGCACGCTGATTTACACAGGTTTGGTTAAAAAAGGAGCCGCAAGTCACTGTTCTGAGAACCTGTCCTGGCTTTGGAGATCAAGGTCACACCAGAATTTTTCTGCCCTAGACTAAACATCCCGTAATGAAAAGTCATGCATTCCAGCATTTTCCCACTGAACTCACCAGCACCTGGCTCACAAGCCAGGAGAGACAGAAATTCTGGCACACTGGATTGGTTTGTCCCTAGTAACTCACAGGTGAGAGCTGTATTCTCATCAACCCTATTGTCTGGCTGTGGTCCATTCTCTTCTAGTTTAAACCAACTCAGCTTGGTTTCCACAAAG